TATTCAGGTTATGAAATGTGGGGTACAAAACATCAAGTGGAAAAGAGGGGGGTAGGAATAATGATAGAAATAAGAGAAATAATGAGATAAATAAGAGAAATAATGATAGAAATAATGAGAGAAAAGAGAAAAATAATGATAGAAATAAGAGAAATAATGATAGAAATAAGAGAAATAATGATAGAAATAAGAGAAATAATGATAGAAATAAGAGAAATAATGATAGAAATAATGAGAGAAAAGAGAAAAATAATGATAGAAATAAGAGAAATAATGATAGAAATAATGATAGAAATAAGAGAAATAATGATAGAAATAAGAGAAATAATGATAGAAATAATGATAGAAATAAGAGAAATAATGATAGAAATAAGAGAAATAATGATAGAAATAATGATAGAAATAAGAGAAATAATGAGAGAAAAGAGAAAAATAATGATAGAAATAATAATAGAAATGATAGAAATTATAGAAATAATGAGAGAAATGAGAGAAATAATAATAGAAATGAGAGAAAAAATTATAGAAATGGTAGAAATAATGATAGAAATGATAGAAATTATAGAAATAATGATAGAAATGATAGAAATAATGATAGAAAAGAAAGAAATAATGAAAAAAATTTGAGAAATGATAGAAAAAATTATAGAAATGATAGAAATAATGATAGAAATTATAGAAATAATGAGAGAAACGAGAAATAATAATGGAAATGAGAGAAATAATGATAGAAATTATAAAAATTATAGAAAGGAGAGAGATTGTGATATACATGAGAGAAATAATGATAAAAGTGACAGAAATAATGATAGAAATTATAGAAATAATGACAGAAATAATGAGAGCTAGTGGTGCAAGACAAAGCAGTAGAAAGTGACAGGAAAGGCGATAGACATCATTGAAGAAATAACATAAATTTTGCTCGTATCTTCAACTAGTGATCCCAGGTGAGTGAATAGTGAGGTCAACACACACACACACACACACACACACACACACACACACACACACACACACACACACACACACACACACACACACACACACACGCACGCACACACACACACACACACACACACACACACACACACACACACACACACACACACACACACACACACACACACACACACACATCAACCAACTCCTTTACCAGTCCAGGAAAAACAGGATCGGCAGTAGGACCACCTCCCCGTCAGGCAGGTCTTCTGTGATCCAAACCTCTACCTTCAGTACTCTCGAGTCAGTCCAGTCATCACTACTACTTTCTTACCTGACTCTCTCTCTCCCTCTCTCTCTCTCTCTTTCCCTCTCCCTCTCTCCCTGTGGTTGAGTTGGGTTGGGTTATATATATGTGTGTGTGTGTGTGTGTGTGAAAGGGACTCGACCCCAGCACCCCCAGGAGAGTAAAACATAGTCACTTCCACTCACACACACACACACACACACACACACACACACACACACACACACACACCTCTGTCTACTTCCTCTTTTGTTCACTATCATTAACAGCCATATTTTTCAGAGAAGGATCACCTGAAAGACTATCCACCCCAATACTACCTGAGAGTTAGGGTTAGGTTAGGTCAGATAGGGCAGGGGGGCAGCAGTCTTCAGATGACCCAACAGAAACATGAATCATTACACAATAGTTTCTCAGGTAGACACTCACTGACATCCTTCCCAGGTCAAGACACTCTCCATGCTGTGAGCTAACACATTTCTATCACCCTCACTTTGGACTAATGTTCGTATTTCGTTATAATTTCGTTGTAATTCTGATATATATTCTCAGCATTATGTATATGCTTTCTCCTGGAGGTTAAGACTTTGGGGGAAATTGTATTGTGAGGGTGGAGGATGAGGGTGAGGGGTGTGTGGTTGTGAGGGGTGGAGGGTGAGGGTGTAAAAGGTATTGTGAGGGTGGAGGGGTGAGGGGTGAGGGGTGTTATGTATGGGAGGGTGGAGGATGAGGGTGAGGGGGTGTGTTGTGTGGTACAGAGGGTGGAGGGGTGAGGGTGTTGTGTATTGTGAGGGTGGAGGATGAGGGGTGAGGGGTGTATTGTGAGGGTGAGGGGTGAAGGGAGGGGTGGTGTTAGGGTGTGAGGGGTGTATTATGAGGGTGAAAGTGGGGTGCTTGGTGTATTGAGAGCCACTGTACCACCTATTCACAATATCACTTCAAAATCACCTTCAAAATCACCTTCAAAATCACCTTCAAAATCACCTTCTAAATCACCTTCTAAATCACCTTCAAAATCACCTTCAAAATCACCCTCTAAATTACCTTCTAAATTAGTATTATTCATCTTCAGAAACAACAACAAAACATGTGCTTGGTCTTATCAGTCTTTGTGTCTCACGTTTTTGATAGTAAATTGTTTTGGTAAATTATGGTAATATTATTGTACATTGTAAGGACTGTGTGTGTGTGTGTGTGTGTGTGTGTGGAGTACAGTAAACAGTGCAATATTGGTGGGGAGGTGAGGGAGGATATGTATGTGTAAAAGGCGAGAACAGGTGCTGGAGAGAGAGAGAGAGAGAGAGAGAGAGAGAGAGAGAGAGAGAGAGAGAGAGAGAGAGAGAGAGAGAGAGAGAGAGAGAGAGAGAGAGAGAGAGAGTACAGGTAATGTCAAGGGAAGGGTGGATGGAGGGAGGGAGAAGGGACATGCGGAAGGGAAGGGAAAGGATTGCAGGTGTTGATAAGGGGCGGAAAGTCGAGAAGGAAGAGAAAAAAAGGAAGTAATCTACAAGACGTTACAATAATTTCTGGCAGGTTGAGGGAGGGGAGTAGGTAACGGGAGGTGGCTGTAGGTAGCTTCTCGCCCCCCCACCATTACTGTACTGTACCTGAAGAATGACTCGCCTCAAGGAAGGGCTTCTTCTACACTAACGCCAAGAGGTGTGTGTGTGTGTGTGTGTGTGTGTGTGTGTGTGTGTGAGTGTGTGTGTGTGTGTGTGTCATTACTGGCATTGCTGTAGCCTTCATAATGACTCGAGCTACGACGTGTTCTGGGGCAGTGTGTGTGCTACCTGACGTCGTTGTTTGGACTTGACGGTCATGACCTAAAACTAAGATGTTCTGATTTTGTTTTTGTTTGTTTGTATACGTGTAAAAAGCGTAATGTGGAATCAGTCAAGTGTCACCTCGCCCCCTCGCCAAAGACTGAAGATATTCGGTACACAGGTCGGCGTGTGGGCCACCAGTGTTTCCCTCTGGATATAGCACGGAGTTAAAATAATATTTCCCACGCATAATAGCCCTGAGGGTCAGTCGCTTCCTGGCAGGTGAGGACCACACTGATGAAATAACATAACGAAACAGGTAGCGGTACGTTCACTCTGTTCACCGCCCCACACGTCACGCCATAAACAAATCCCCCAAAATTATCTAATAAAAATAAATAACTTGGCCAACACTACATGCAAGTTTCAGGTTCATAAATCAAAGAACCTGACACATCGAGTTAAGCTACGACAGAAAGATGTAAACAAACGGAGCAACAAATAACTACCCCCCAGGCCCCTCCCATCCTCTTTCGGAACTCATATCCTCGAGGAACGCGCTTCACGTGGCACCTGCAGGCAAAATGAGGAGATGGGGGGAGCGTTGTACAATATGAACTGAGCACTTAAGACGCACTTAACCCATAAAACACCCAGAATGAGAACTTAAGTCATTTAAAGCTGCATAACACATTCAAAATATATACACTTACCACACACTCAAACCAGAATCTACTGCACAGATACAACAATGCAGACAAATACATAAAATAAGTAGTAACGCAAATATAATACCAACGTCTGCTATGCACTAACGCGTCACAAATACTGCGATGTAATTTCTAACACTTAGCACTGTAGGCAAGTCCTCCACTGTTGAATAAGATGCGATGTTGGTCAATTCGCCTTCATTAACACACACACACACACACACACACACACACACACAGACACACACACACATCTCATCCGTGTTGTGTTGACCATCAAACATTTGTTGTACAATATTTGTATTATATTGTGACATTTACATTGTTCTGTTCGGCAGCACAAGAGTCAACATGACCGGCGGTGTGTGTGGTGAGGGTGATGCGTCTGCTGTGTTGTTTTAATATCTTAATATATTATAAATGGTGTTGTCATTAGTAAATACATCACGAACACATGAATTAATACCTGACACTTCTTGGTATTGGTCTGTGTGTGTGTGTGTGTGTGTGTGTGTGTGTGTGTGTGTGTGTGTGTGTGTGTGTGTGTGTGTGTGTGTGTGTGTGTGTGTGTGTGTGTGTGTGTGTGTGTGTGTGTACCAAGCACCTTACAACCCTAACAGACTGAGGAGGACAAGCGTGTACCATATCCATATTCTGCACTACACTTCCCCACTGAGACGACCGCCGCGTGAACACAGGTATCATGTAGCATCAATATTGTACCTTTAACACGAGACTCCTCTTCCATGTCTCACACCTCAAGGATACCTGGCCGTGTGTCTTGTTTTATGAAAGGACAATGGGAGGGTTTTTTTTTTATGTTTCGTTAAAAATGGATTAAAAAATGAACTTGGATCTCTCTCTCTTTGACTCTCTCTCTCTCTCTCTTTCTCATTCATACCTTAAACGAGACACACACACACACACACACACTAACAAATACCGTATAAGGATAACAACGAAAAATAAAAACACGACCAAAATTATATACCTATCATTGGTACCGAGTTTTCTTACCAAGGTGGATGAAGAAAATGATCCGCGGTACCTGGAACACGACTACAGGTTCTAAAAAAAATCTCAGATAATAATTCCCCTTAAATAAAAAACAACTCAATACCTCACTTAAATAATAATAATAATACAAAAAAAAAACTTTAATCCAATAAAAAAAATCTATTCATAAATAAGTATAAATTTTGGTATCAGATGATTGTAAAGGGGAATAATTACCTTGAGTCTTTGAGTACCTGGCAGGTAAGGAGGGAAGGGGGTACTCACCTGGGGGCGGAGGCTTGTGGGGAGTGGATGGCCTCAGCTTGTACTGCCGACTTCTGCGTCACAGGATGGACCAATGTTGTCTCCTGCCGGTTGTGGCTGTGAGGGAAAGAGAGAGAGATATCATGTTAGAGCGGCGGTATGGCTGAGAGAGAGAGAGAGAGAGAGAGAGAGAGAGAGAGAGAGAGAGAGAGAGAAAATTATAATTATTAGGGTGGCAGTATGGCTCTCCCTACCAAGTATATCTACACTTAACATGATGTAGCCATTCCAGTCACCTGTAGCCTAAAGTCAAACACCACAAGCAGCTCAGGTAAGGACGAAACAGCGACGATGATTTGAGTGATCTTGGAATACCTTTATGTAGAAGCTCCGGGACACAGTTATGTTGATAAATGTTGCAAGGTATTGTAAACAAGTCAGTCACGTCAGAGTCTCACTACCTGGTGGTCTTTCTCAGCAGGTAAATCCTCCTTCACACCTGTAATTAACACCTCTTACCCTTCAGGCTCTGATACGACACCTGTTTCTCCTTAATCACACCTTTTTATATAAATGTCAATTATTTCTCTCCTTCCATCTACCATTCATTTCTCCCTCCCTTCTTCCCTCTCGCCTCCTCCCACTTTTATCTCCTCCTCTCACTCTCTCCCTCTCCAGCTTCTCTGAATCCTCCCACCTACTTCTCCTCTCACTACCATCCTCCTCCTCCTCCTCCTCCTCCTCCAACTCTCACCAAGAATCCAACCACCTTCCTCTCCTCCCGCACCCCCCCTCCCTACCCCCATCTCCTCACACCACCACCACCACCACCACCTTCATCACACTATGCCCAGATCATTAGGAAGAGGAGGTAGGTGTGTGTGTGTGTGTGTGTGTGTGTGTGTGTGTGTGTGTGTGTGTGTGTGTGTGTGTGTGTGTGTGTGTGTGTGTGTCCAACTGCGGGTCTTACAATAAACACTTCAGGTGATGAGGCTCCGTGGATCACCGTCCAGATTATACCTCGACCCACACATTGAGTATACATGAATTGTGGGTACAGTAAATCATGGGTACAGTATATCATGGGTACAGTATATCATGGGTACAGTATATCATGGGTACAGTATATCACGGGTGCAGTAAATCATGGGTACAGTATATCATGGGTACAGTATATCATGGGTACAGTAAATCATGGGTACAGTATATCATGGGTACAGTACATCATGGGTACAGTACATCATGGGTACAGTATATCATGGGTACAGTATATCATGGGTACAGTATATCATGGGTACAGTATAACACAGGATACATTTCTGGTGTTGATGAGAGCTACAGGTGGCGACAGTGTTGGTTTTTTGGTCAATAATTTAATTTTTATAATAATTTACCTAACCTTTTCATTCGTTAACTGACTCACCTTACATGTTAACTCTCCGCTCGTCAAGGTAAGGTTCCCAGGTAAGGTTTTCATCACTGTGTATTTCTGGGATGGTTGACACACCTGTACTCTTGATTAGTTCCTTCCACTATTAATTACCAGGTAACTTTTCCACCTTCGTGACTCTAGCAACGGGGAGAGCCAGACTGATTACATTACCCTCAAACGGCCAATCGGAACAAGACACGAGACTATATCTCCCTGAACTAGCCAATCAGAACAAGACACGTGACTACATCTCCCTCAACCAGCCAATCAGGTGAGTGGACTACCCACGGCCAACACTCCCGAACGACCAAACTACCTAACAACCTAACCTACCTAGTTAACTACTCTCAAGCACTCGTTAGGTGGTTTATATTACTTGGATGACATTGTCTGGTTTATATACGGTCAAGTACATTATTATTTTGTAATTAATGAAAGAGTGAGTGAGTGAGTGAGTGAGTGAGTGAGTGAGTGAGTGAGAACCGCTGCTGTAACTTAAAAAAATAACACAGTACTGAACAATGAAACAAAAAACAAAAAAAGAATAAAAAAAACAAACACGATAAAACAAACGAAAAATAAAACCACTTAAAACAAAACAAAAAAATAACAAAATAAAAACGAAACTGATCCCTCGGCAAAAAATAAAAAATAAATAAATAATACAAGAAAATTTTCTTTTATCAGCGTCTTAACAGTAAAGTATCTCAGTATAGTTGTGGTGGGCGGACAGTCAGGGGCGTAACAAGCGGACAGAGCGGAAAGGGCTGACGGGGGTGGGTGGGGGGGGTTAAGGTGGGCGGTAGGGCTCCTGTACGCCCAAATAAGGTAGGAAAGTACCCTGGTGTGTTTGGGCGTGGTGTCTTAACCTGAACTACTGCCAGAGAGGGTACAGAAAGAGGTGGGTGTCCATCTAGGGAGTGTGGTGTGCTATTAACGGTAACCACAGCTAAGTGTATTAACCACGGCTGTTATTAACGTTATCCACAGCTAAAGGTGGTATCACACGAGCGTTATCCGGCTAAATTCATCCGACAACTCAATATCGGCTGCAGATTTGGGTAGTTGCCGGGATATTCCACCAGAATTGGAGTTTCAACCAAATTATATTCACAGCATCACAAGCTACTGAGTGTGAGCTAATGGAGAGAAAATTAACGTTATAGTCGTTATGAAATTAAACAGCTATGTACATTTCAAAACTGCATCGTGTATTTTTTTGTATTTAAAGTATATAATTTACTTTTATATAAGAATACATAATTTTACAGTACTAGCTGACTTGACAAGGTAATGTTATGGTGTAAGTCCTGTGGTAGCTTGACTCAAACGCCTTCCCGACGCTTACACCAGACCGTATGGGTTCCAACACCAATTTTACAAGGATCAGGCACTCCGAAATTTCCCTGTGGAGTAATACGACATAGGAGGTCTTGGTATTGTGTTCTGTTCTGTCCTGTCCAGCCGTATCCATTGTTTCTCAACGTTTGTGGTCTCTCTCTCTCTCTCTCTCTCTCTCTCTCTCTCTCTCTCTCTCACCAACAACACCATCATCACCACTACCACACCACAAGTCAGACACACTATACCAAACACCATAAATCTCAGTCAAGTCGGGCCTCAGGTGGAAGGTCAAGCAACTCACCTGGCCAATAAACGCTCCTTGACATACTCTTACAACACGTAATATATTCTTAAATAATGTGTTAATGATGTTTTACTGAGACACAACAGCTTATTTTAACCTTGTTGGTGGTAATGATGGAGTTGAGTTGTCCACTTGTCGCTCATATGGTTTGTGTGGCATTTATCGCCTTTGTATATTATTATTATTATTATTATTATTATTATTATTATTATTATTATTTATTATCTGAGGGAGGGAGGCCACACCTGAGTGCTGGAAGATGATCAGGTAATTAATTAAATGGAAAAGGAGAGAGAGAGAGAGAGAGAGAGAGAGAGAGAGAGAGAGAGAGAGAGAGAGAGAGAGAGAGAGAGAGAGAGAGAGAGAGAGACCACTACCACCACAACAAAACACCATCAGACACACTACCAGGCCAAGGTAAACATCAGTAATTTCTTAATGGGAAAAATTCTCAGGAAAGATAAGACGATAAACAATAGCATCTTAAAAGTAGGTTCTTACAGGGCGTCTCAATGGCCGAGGTGACAGTGAGGGGGTGAAGGGGTGAGGGGTGGGGGGTGGGGATGAGGGGTGGGGTTGAGGGGGGGGGGTTGAGGGGTGGGGGGGATGAGGTGGGGATGGATGGCTGCCTCCTGATCCTCTGCATTGTTTCTCACTCAACTTGAGAAGAAAAAAAATGTCAAGAGGAGTAATTCAAGACCCCATCCTCGTCTGGTTTAATGGCAGGTCTTTAGTGTGTGTGTGTGTGTGTGTGTGTGTGTGTGTGTGTGTGTGTGTGTGTGTGTGTGTGTGTGTGTGTGTGTGTGTGTGTGTGTGTGTGTGTGTGTGTGTGTGTGTGATGGTATAAAGCTTCCGTCAACCAGATAATTCACCTAATCCACCCAATTCAACCCCCCGGCCCCTCCACCACCTCGCCCTCCACCCAACACCCCTGGTGCTTCAGGTCGGCGGGGTTAACGAGAAGGTCATCATGAGTGATAGATAACCGGCAGGTGAACGACGTGTAACAGTCACCTATGTATGAACCAGGTTAATGGCATGAGAGGTAAGGACATGTACTCTTGTTCACATGTACTCTCGTTCATAAGTACTCTCGTCCGTATGTACTCTCGTCTGTAAGTACTCTCGTCCGTAAGTACTCTCGTCCACATCTAGTAAGGGTCCTTCACGCCCACTTTAATCCCCACACCACAACACACTACAAGCCTCCTCTTCACGCGTCCTCCCTCCTGCATATTTACCTGCAGGTGTTCATATGTAAGCCGGACAGGTAGCTCTGAACACCCTCCAATTAACACACCTGTAAATACAAAGCGCTAAGACAGGTATGTTCATGTAGTGTATCGCAGCTGTTGTGTGCATCTGCTTTTGCTGCAGTATAAGGAAAACAAAAAAGAGAGAGGGTAGCTTAACAGTACAGCTTGAGAGGGCAGCTTGAGAAGGTAGCTGGAGAGTACAGCTTAAGAAGGTAGCTTGAGAGTACAGCTTGAGAGAGTAGCTTGGGAGGGTAGCTTGAGAGTACAGCTTAAGAATACAGCTTGAAGTTGCAGCTTGACCTGACAGACTTGGTTTGATTGGTCGTATTAGCCTTCCAAGACCCCTGACACTCGCCTTGTTGCTCTCCCTCCCGACTCTACTGCTGGGATAATGCCATATTTACGTCGCTCCACTGAGGTGCAGTATGAAATAACTATATAAACGGACAAATGATGAAGAGTTAGCAAATAAAGGAGCAGAGTGAGACAAGGACGACGGCGGGGCAGAGAGCGTGAGGTGGTGCACGGCGGAGTGCTCGAGAGACCGCCCGCACCGCCTCTCACTCCGCCAGACGAGCTCCTCTCCTCATCACGCCCACGATTTGCTCCTATCACGTTTCCGACAATTGTATCACGCCAAGACCTTGTTCTGCCTGGGATATTGCTGCCCCCTCCCCCCAAATGGCGCCCATCTCCTCCACCACCCAGTGTGGCGCACACTCCTTCTCACATCCAGCGTGGGATAAGAGTGTGTGGTAGACAACCTGTGGTGGACAGGTAC